GTTTTTTTTTTTTAGTTGAAGTCTCACCCCGTTGCCCAGGCTGGAGTGCAGTGGCACACTCATTGCTCACAGCCACCCCAGCGTCAACCTGCTCGGCTCCAGTGCTCCTTCTGCCTCAGCCTTCCAAGTAACCGGAACTACAGGTGCACACTACCACGCCCGGCTAATTTTTTATTCATTGTAGAGACGAGGTCTTACCAAGTTGCCCGGGGGGTCTCAGACCTGTTGGCTCAGACAATCCACTCGCTTCGGCCTCCCCAAGTGCTGGAATTACAGACTGAGCCACTGAGCCATGACTGATTTTGTAACATCATATATCAGTCATGGAAAATTAGATATGTAGATCTTCTGATGTCAATACATTTCATTTTATATTAAAAAATAGTGTCTTAGTCTGTTTGAGCTGCTATAACAAATTACCCTAAACTGAATGGCTTATTAACAACAGAAATGTAACCAGGGGCACGGTGGCTCAAGCCTGTCATCCCAGCACTTTGCGAGGCTGAGGCAAGAGGATTGCCTGAGCTCAGGGGTTCGAGACCAGCCTGGGCAACTTGGCAAGACCTCGTCTCTACAATAAATCAAAACATTAGCTGGGCATGGTGGCACATGCCTGTGGTTCCAGTTTGGAAGGCTGAGGCAGAAGGATCACCTGAGACCGGGGACTGCGGTGGCCGTGGGTGCCACTGTACTCCAGCCTGGGCGACAGAGTGAGACTCCAACTCAAAAGAAAAAAAACTATTTCTTACTGTTCTAGAGCTTGGGAAGTCCACAATCAAGGGCCCAGGTGAGGGCTCGGGCTGGTTCCTAGGTGACGCTTCTTCTGCCGCCTCACGTGGCCACAAGCTCTCTTAGGAGGGCACTAACCTCACTTAGGAGTGTTCAACCCTGGAGAGCTAAACCCCTCCCAGACCTTTAGACCACAGCAGTCACAGCCGTTAGTATCTCCATCAGTCGGGCTTAGTGGCTCAGCCTATAATCCCAGCATTTTGGGAGGCAGAGGTGAGTGGATTGCCTGAGCCTGCAGGTTCAAGACCCACCTGTGCAACTTGGTGAGCCCTAAAAAAACTAGCTGGGTGTGGTAGCATGTGCCTGTAATTTCAGCTACTTGGAAGGCTGAGTTGGAAGGATCGCCGGAGCCCAGCAGGTTGAGGCTGTGATGGCAGGGAGCATGCCACTGCACTCCAGTCTGGGTGACGGAGTGAGACTCCAACTAAAAAAAAAAACAAAACAAAAAAAACTCCACCAGTATCAGCAAAGTCTTTAAGTGTTGAATTGGGAAGCAGTCAAAATTTCTAATTTCCAAAACTTTAGATTTTGCTTGAGAGCCTGAATCTTATTATTGGCAACAGATATTGTCAATTGTCTTCTTGGTGTGTTAGGCTCATTTCATCTCTGCCAAAAGCCCAAATCCGAAAACTATAGTTTCCGTATCAGATGTTCTTTTCTGGTAAAAGTGGTGTTTCTTGAGAAAAGCTTGTTCAGTTCCAAATCCATCACGTAAGCGATGTATTTTTTTTTTTTTTTTTAGATGACCAATGTGGTTTTGGGTGTATCAGAATTTCTTTAAGTGAACTTCACATTTTGTCACACAGAATAGTAAAGAGATATCTCCTCAGGGATCAATATTTAATACACTTTCCTGCTTCATCAAATACATTTTTAAGTGAAACTGACATTTTTCTTTCTTTTCTTTTTTAGAAAAATGGAATGAATACTAGTACAATATGGTGCCAGTGCTGCAAAACAGTTTACCTAGCATTGCTTTAGTATTATCAATGAAATGTCAAAACAGTGAGGAAAGCAAACAAAACCTTACGTAAAACTTTTTTTTTTTTTGAGTTGGAGTCTCACTCTGTCGCCCAGACTGGAGTGCAGTGGCACACTCCTGGCTACCGCAGCCTCGACCTGCTTGGCTCAGGCGATCCTCCCGCCTCAGCCTTTCACGTAGCTGGAACTACAGGTGCACATTATCATGCTCAGCTAATTTTTTGATTTATTGTAGAGATGAGGTCTCGCCAAGTTGCCCAGGCTGTTCTCGAACCTGTGGGCTCAGGCAGTCCTCTCACCCCGGCCTCACAAAGTGCTGGGATGACAGGCTTGAGCTACTGCATCCAGCATATATAAAACTATATAAAATAGTTTTGTCTTCGCCGACACCAGAAAGGATCTTGGTGATCCCTAGGTGTCCAAGGCCATACAAAGAGAAGCACTGCTTTAGAAAAATCACTAAAAGGAAAGAAGAGTATATGATTTACAAGTTGGTAGGGAAAGCGAAGTAATCACAGTATCATTCCAAAATAGGATGAGAGAGAGGAGAAAAGGAACACGGGACAATACAAAGCACTTAATAACTTGAGAGACTGAAATTCAAGTATGTTGATGATTAATATGGCCAGGCATGGTGGCTCACATCTCACATGACACCTGCTTAGTGATGGCCAGCTCCTTTATCACAAGGAAGTTGACATCCTTGGAAAACACCTTATGGGCATGTGGTGGCTCACCCCATAATCCCAGCACTTTGGGAGGCTGAGGCAGGACTGCCTGAGTCCAGAAGGTCAAGACTGTGGTGAGCTGTGATGGTGCCACTGCACTCCAGCCTGGGTGACAGAGTAAGGCCCTGACTCATGAGGGTAGAGTAAAGTTGAAAGCAAAATGGTGGGAAAAGATATACCTTAAAAACACTATCCAAAACAAAGTTGCTAAGGGTATACTGAGTAGACTCCAAGGCAAGAAGCATCAAGAGAGACGAAGGAAAGAGCTTGATGGGGGACAGAGACCTCAATTTGCTAAGAAGGCATAATGACTCTAAACATGTAAGCACCTTAAAACAGGGCCTCATAATATACACGGCAGGACCTGAGAAAGTCAAAGGAGGAAGCAATTTCAAAATCACGGTGGGAGATTTTAGCCCACCTCTACCAGTAACTGAGGGAACAATCAGAAGAAAAAGTCATTTAGGATTAGTAAATTGAACAGCACGATGGATAAGTGTAACCCATTAGACGTACGGAGAATACTGCTGCCAACAACTGCAGAATACATAGGCGGTAATAGTATGAAAAGCCCATCGTGGCGGCTCGTTTGTAATCCCAGGTCCCTGGGAGGCCAAGACAGGACTGCTCGAGCTCAGCTGCTCAACACCGGCGTGGGCAAAACACAGCCACCAGACCTGTCTCTCCGAAAAGCAAAAGAACAAAAGATCGCCAGGCGGGCTTGCTTGCGCCCAGCAGGCCGGGGCTGCGGGGGCTGCGGGGGCTGCGACGCTGCCACTGCCCGCCAGCCCGGGCGACACGGCGAGACCGACTCGAAGGACTACTCGCCGCACGACCCGCTCGGCAACGGCCGAACTGCGTAGT